ATAACTAAATCTAAATATATATAATAATATAAAAATACAATAATTAAGAAATATGCTAAAACCTATTTTATAACAATGTTTAGATTCAATTATATTATTTTGTTTGTTATTATTAAAAGTTTCTTCAATATGTGAAACTTCACTTATTTCAATATTTCTAATACTAGGAAATGATATTTCAAACATATCATTTACTTGTAATGTTTCACTTATTTCAATGTTATTAGCATTAGAGGATATTTCAGATATATCAATTATTTGGAGAACTTCATTCATTTCGCTTTTTTTTTTATTGAAAAAAATACCTAATTTTTTTTAAAAATTAAATAAATAAATATTTTGTTTACATCAAATAATTTATCATTGTTCGTTGCATAATAATAGTAATAGTACGTAATGTTTTAAACTTTTAAATTAATATACATCACTACTTATATTGACATAACGATAAGGATATATCAAAATTTAATATAAAAATATCAGTGACATGTAATTTATTTTTAGACTAGTTAAATTACTAGTTTTGGACTAGTATTTAGTAGTTTTTTCGGAGATTAGGACCAGACTACTTTCAGACTGGGTTAATAAGACGACTTAACATCCCTATCTATCGAAGATATTATTGAAAAAGGTTTTAGCCTATATCGAAAAAATATTTGAGGATCTACCACTCGTACTAGTTGTTATATTTGATTAGAGTAAGGTCTGGAAAAATATATATTATATATAGTATTAAGTCAATATTACATAAGTATGAGAAATGACTATCTATGCTTCACCATTACTATTATCCTTTATTTTCCAAAAATACGCATAAGAAACCTCCTTTCGCGCTTTAATTAAAAGTTTTCTTGAGCAATTTTACTATATAGTTGCTAAAATATTAGCTCTAACCCTAACTCTAATCCCAACGAAATAAACTTTAAAATTTTTGGAAGATATATCTCTCGCGGGAGATGCCTATAATTTCCCTAAATTATATATGTACCAGTTTAAGTTTATTGTTTAATTGAAAATTTTATTGTAAAATCTGAATATATTGAGTTGTTAAGAATGCGATAAAGAGTGAAAGATGTTAAAATTGAAAAAAAAATTATTATTAAACGTTACGGTAAATATCCAAAAGAATTTTATTAATAAAAATTGCATCATAATTATTTGATCAAAAAATCTATCATTATATAAAAATCAATGTGACTTGATTCTATTGGATGATCGGCCACCTCAACGAGGCATGTTAAATTTTTGAAATAATACATAAACTTAGGGAAAAAAATTTTAAATTCCACGGTGGAATTTATCATAAAACAACAATTTAAAATTGTCACTAGTTGAGTTAAATAAAGATGTTTAAACTTTTTAATTTAAAACATCGCATCTGGCTGGTTAATTTCAAGATCTAACATTTTATTTTTTATAATTTTCATATCATAAATCAATCAAGGCAAATTTATCGTGCTTGTCATTTAAGGGTGTTCTCAAGCCCAAGTTAACTATTGGAGTTAAACCCAGCACTTATTTGTATAACGCTATCCCAAACAATAGTAACAATGCTGGTACTATCAGTCGTAAATCATCAGATTGGGGAATTCTAAGTTTTTTGGATGAAAGTGACATTGAACCCTTTCACAAGAAGATAGACGCTTATATTAAGTCTCTTAATAATATTATTGCCTCAGAACAACATGGAAAAAGACCTGAAAAAGCGCGTATACTTCTCAAAATGTATAAGGAGGCGAGTAAATTTTTTGACTGGAGATGCGGGAAGAAACTAAGTGGTGTGATAGGGGCCTTCTCGGTTCTTATCATTCAAGGCTTTTTGCTGAACCACAAAGCCGGTGTGATGCCCAAGTGACCTTTTTGGTTGTTTGACGTTCAAGGCTTTTGCTGACTCAACACCGGTCCCATTAGGGCACAGATGGTTTTCTTGGTTGCCTGATGTTGAAGGCTTTTTGCTGACCTAATGGAGTTTGAAAAATAATTAGGAAATTAAAGTATATTAAGAATATCACTAATTTTATAATTTTCTTTACAAGGAACCTCGAAATCATTTTTTTTTCAGAGTTTATTCTGATTGGCTAAAATTTAAAATCCGCGATTCTCGCAACGAATTTTCAGCATATCGTTACCATTAATCGTAATAACCACTTCAATTAATGGCAATATCATGACCGTTTTTCAAATCACATTGAGGGAGCTGCTTGAGAATGCCTTTAATATTTGCATTTCGTCCGCAAAATTGCTATAAGGATTATTTGTAATGCTTGTGCACGATCTTAATATAGATGTGCGTCTAAATTATTTTTGAAAAAAAAAGTATTTTCGGCAAACATTTCGACATTATTACATTTTTTTATTTGAAACGTTCGCTGACTAAATGGCGTAATAATTTTTTACTAAGATGGGCACACATGTATAGATCTTAATCACATTGAGGGAGTTGCTTGAGAACGCCCACCAATTTTTTCAGAGTTGCTTTGATTGGCTGAGATTTAAATCCGAATTTGCATAATAGAATTTTTAGCGAAATTATTATTACATTGAGGGAGTTGCTTGAGAACACCTAAATCAACAAAAGTCCTCTTTGTAATGAATACACTTTTGGCGAGGTATCGTTCAGTTACGTTTATAAATTTTTGTAAATTATGTATGTGTAAACTTTAAACGAATTTCTTTCAATGGAACGTTATTTATAATTAGTAATTATAATAAATATTATTTAATGATTGAATCCAATTATTAAAACAATGATTTTGATATTATATTTTAAAACATTTGCCCTACGTTAATATATAACTTATATATTCTAAAAATGTAAAGATTTTAATAAAGCTAAAAGTAATTGTGTAATGTGAAATTAAAAAAAAATCCATTATTTAAAATTAGAGTAATTTTAAAATTGAGCAATTTTTTACTAATATTTAAACTTTTTTTTTTAAGAGGTGAATGTGAAGGCTAAAAATTTTATAGTTAAATCGTCGGAAATTATTTAAGTATTGGAATGTTGCTAGCTTACAGTAAAATGTTCTTTTTACGAAGCAACTCTAACAAATGTTGTAACCGCAGGATAGTAGTATTTCACGATTTGTAACTACACTTCTGCATTCCAATCTTATAAATTCGGCAGATTTTTACTATAAACTTTATAACTTCTTAAATTTTTACATTTTCTATGAATTTTAATATTAATTAATTGATTTATATATATTAAAATAGTAATTTTATTTATATTAGATCAAAAAATCTAGTTTTGTAATTAATTTAATCGTAAGAGTAAAAAAAAATTTTTAGTCTTAAAATGAAAATTCTAAATATTAATAATAAATAGATTACCATATTTTCGCGAAATTATTTACAGAGGTTTAATTTTGAATTACAGTTCAGTTCACTATTCAAAATAACGCACATGCCTGTTTATTTCGCAAAAATATCGTGTTTAATTTATTATATATTATCGCTTAAACTAGGTGGATACGGTACACGTTCTCCATTTGCATCAACTATACCCCAAGTTTTACTAATTTCGTTTCCCATTTCTAATTCTAAAACAGCACCCTTCGCTATATCACTATGTCTAAACCAAGTTTTATGCCACTCCTTGCCATTGATTTTAGCTGATTGTACATATATATTATTATTTGATAAATTATTTGCTTTTATAGAAAATGTTATCATAGGAGATATTGATAAAATTATTGTAGTTTGATCGAAATGTGGAGAATTTATGAGATAAACATCTTGCCCAGCGCTTTGAAAAATATAATTAAAAGATAAGAATTTTATTAATAATGTTAAAAAAAAAAACTCTGGAAATAATAATAATAAGGCTAAAAACTCACAGTGGAAATATTCCTATTGCATGGAAAGCAAACCAACTTCCCATAGCGCCTGAATCATCATTTCCTAACATATATAATATAAAAATTGTACCGTTAATATAATATAAAATTATAAATAATAATAGTTATAAAAATTTACCTGGAATGCCATCTTTGTCACTACCGAATTGCGTTGTTAATATATCTCTTATGACATCAACTGATTTATACTGTTTGCCAATAAAGTGATATAAACAAGTATGGAAAAATGAAGGTTCATTACCGATATTGTAAAATGAAGATAAATAGCCGTTTGAAAAAGTTTTGTCAAGACGTTCTTCGAAGGCATCCGGACCACCAGATAAAGAAATTAACCTTTTAACATCTATTTGTGAGAAATAATATAAGTAAAATAAAATATAAAAGGCAATTAAATCTCAGGGTTGTTAAAGATCTTTGAATTTATATTTACCATGAGGGACATCAAGGCTGTATTCCCATGAAGTACCCTCATAAAATGGAGTTTCGCCACCATTTTTAAATAAAACTCTCCAATCATTATCAAAAGTACCATCCAGAAACCTGGGCAAGATGAATCCCTTAATATCTTTAAATTATAAAGATTTATAAGTATATAATAGCGTATGAAAGGAAAAAATTATCAAATTTTGGTTACCCATATACGTTTTGTTTGGATGCCATAAGTTTTCCCAATTACTAGCTCTTTTTTTGTATTTTACATAATCATCATACTTTCTCATTTCTATTATTGATAACGTGTGGATATCAGATTTTATTTATTTTTTATAATTTGATAAATAAATTATGTTTTGATTACCTTTAGCCATAAGAGCAATTGAATAATCATTAGCCGAATACTCCAAAGTTCTGCTGCATGGATTAATGGCGTAAGCAGTTCTTTTATGATCTGGAGAAGGGATATAACCAAGTTCTATATAATTTTTAAGAAACAGCCTTCCCTCGTAAAGGCCTTGTTCCCACGGATCAACTTCTGCATCTTTTAATACCGCTTCGTATGCAAGTTTCCAATCAATATTATGTAATCCTAATTTTTTAAGATATAATTCTGCCTAAAAAAACCGAATGTTAATTAAGAATTATAAAGTTTTCTTAAATTATAAAATGGTATCTACAGTATAATATAAAGTATTTACCACTAACATATCAGCATTTGAACCACCCTGTGTTATACCATTATACATTCCACTTCGTCCATCAGGCATATATCCCACATGTTCGTATATATCAATAAGAGATCGAACTATGTCGACCGCTCGTTCTGGTTGGAAAAGTGTAAAAAGTGGATTTGTTGTTCTAATTTAAAATTATTTTAGTTAGTTAATAATAAATCAATTAAAAAAATTCAGCTTATTATTTGAGAGTTGCCAAGAGAAAACTCTAAAAATAGATTACCGGTATTAGGAATTTTATAATAATCTATTTTTAGAGCTCCTTGCTTTCACTTGGCGACACCCATTTAATATAAGATTATCAATTAATTACCTAAATGTATCCCACTGTATCAATACAAAATATATAAACATGATAAATTTAACAATTCACAAAATTTACGCATTAATTTAATAATCGACTTACTAGAGTATAAAAATCATCATAGTTTGGTATTGGTTTGCCAAAATAATCAAACGATGACCATTTTGGATTTTCGCCGGTTCTGTAATGTCATAAATTAGAAAAAAATAAAAATAAAAATAAATAGTCATGACTAAACATAAAAGACTCACCGATCACTTGGCATAATCATGGTTCTATATAAACTAGAATAAAATTTTTTTTGTAAATCAGTTGAACCACCATCAACTCTAATTCTTGATAATTCTTTCTTCCAAGCATAAACGACATTTTGTTGCGTAACATCAAAATCAAAATCTGGAATTTCCGTTTCAGCACTCTTACAAGCTTGATCCGCGGAGATAAAAGATATACCAACTCTAGACTGAATCACAGGATTTCTATTCGTATCGAAAGTTAGGATAGCTCCTAGTGAGAAATCATTACCACCAACTTGATATGTCGAACCTTTAGAAATGGTTTCATCCCAGAAAGTTGCAAATCCAGTAGCATTTATGTCAAATTGAGAACAAAAGTAGACTTTATATGGACCACCATTATTCCAACCGCCAGTATATTGTCCTATACCTTTAATTTGGTTATTAGAAACAGAGTAGATCGCACCATTTATCCAGCGAGAGCTGATAAAAAAAACCACACGATAAATATAAAGTGTAAATATATTAATCATATTTAAATAAACACCAACACAAACCCGTAACCTTGAGTTAGAATATGAGACAAATCAATTATAACATGGGCATTATCAGAGGGAGGAAATGTATATCTATGAAGACCGGTACGTCGACCAGCAGTTAATTCAACCATGATATTATAATCCTTAAGGCCAAATTTAGCATAACCGAGTTTGAATTCTTCAAATGACCGAATAGAACTATAATCTTTAAGGTTTAATTCTACTAAAGGTACAACAACGGGATATTGGCTAATAACACCATACTTAGGTTCACCTAATCATAATATGACACTAAATGGGCAAACATGACAAAATACAACAAATCAAGTAGTATACATAATAGAATTAATAATATTCTCACCACCAGTTCCGCTGACATGTAAATCTATATTTTAAAAGTCCAATATTGTAATAGAAAACGAGAATAAATATTTTATAAAAAAATCATAATATAAAAATGAACATACATACGAGTAATACCCATTATTCTACCATCAATCGTATATCTAGAAAATTTATTAATGAATTCATTACAATAAGAACTACTTTTCAATTCAATGAAATAAAGTCCATACCCGGCATGAAAATCATGTTTGTTATCAGTATCAAAACCTAATTTTACAAGTCCATAAGGATAACAAGGACCATTAAAAACGTGCCCACCTTTTATTAAAGTTGATTAGTTTTTCGATGAATTAAGAGATTTTTCTTTAAAGTGAAATTATTCATACCATTATCAGTTCCAATTGTAGGATCAACTAAATCCTCAAGGTTTTTTAAAACATCGAGCTCATTACTATATATGAATGAATGAGATACTACTTCAACATACCATTCTGTTACAAAATTAATGCTCAAACTAAACACAAGAGCAAAAGTCAGAAATAGTAAAATAACTAAAATTCTTTGTTTCCTCCTAATCATGTGATCTAAAATATAAATGCGTTAGTGTTAGAGTTAAAGAAATTGTATGTACAGTATGTAGTGGTATGTGCTGTACATATAATGATTAATATTTTCAATATCGATATACATTTTAAAATTCTGATTTTCAAATTTCAATTTGCGTAACGCAGTGAAACGTTAACGTTAATTATCGGTATATCGATATCCTTTTTTGTGTTTCACATACGATGTAAATTGTACTAAACTTCTATAAGTTTTGGGATTTTTTGAGTCATAACGATAGTGCCTTCATCAAAACTAAGGTTTTTAATAGAGTATCATACACCATTGTGGCTTAAGAGTATTTATTTATATCCGATATGCCGAATCAGTGTTGGCATTTGGATTATCGTAATTTGGACATAGTCCAAATGTTATACAGTATGTCCAATTATTATTCCCGATAGTCCAAATGCCAACACTGCTCCGAATTATTATAAAAGTCAAGTGGGGTAGTTTATACTATTCTGGATTAGTGAATTGTACCCGAGTAAAGATTTTTGCTTGAATTACATAGTAATTCATCCGGGTCAACCCGGATTGTCGGATAAACGGGTACAAGTAGTGATGTGCCATTTATATGATACCCAAATTTTTTTCGCGTACAGTACGTACAGTACGTATAGTGCGTACAGTTGTTTCTAGCGATCTGATTGGTTGGGAGAATTCACCCGAAGTGATCGGCAAGAATTTTCGCGTACAGTACGTACAGTACGTGCGTACAGTACGTATAGTACTGTACGCGGCACATCACTAGGTACAAGCTCTAGTTATGATGATTTTAAGCTGAGATTTGGGGTCTCTATTTAAATCTATATTACCTACTAAAATTCACATACACTTTTATTAATAAAACTAACCCTAAACCTAACCTAACTCTAAAAAAAAAAAAAAGCTAACAGAAAAGGCCCCAAAAAATTTTAAAATTTAATATTAAAATATTTCAAAATCTCAGCTTCAGCCAATCTCAACATCAGCTGCCACATTTATTGAGTCACCTGAGTCATGCCAAATGTTAAGCCACTTCTTGAATCGAATATATTTTAAAAATTAGATGCGTAAAATGTTTTTTGAGAGGCGGGGAATAAAATCATTTTTGTCAATTGTTTGTTTTATTTGGCACTCATAAGCACAAATATTTAATACTTTCCTCAAAATTAACTTTCATATAATCTTCATTTCATGATTCGACCAGTTATTATGGTATTTCGACATAACAAAATACAGTATTACAATATTATGGCACTCCAGAATTACGACAAAAATACGGCATATTCTGTAATTCAATAGTTAATTATACCATTAACTATAGTTGTAGGTGAATTCAGAATATCAGTGAATTCAGAATTCTAAATAACTTAGGTGAGAGTTGAACTTTTCAGATTAATGATAAAGTACGTACGCTACGCTAAAATATACAATAAGATCATAGACGGTTTGTTTTACAACGCCTATTAAGATATTTTCCTTCAATATTGACTAAGGCCGTTCTCAAAACGCCTCCCTCAATGGGTTTACCGGATGACCTGATTGGCTGAGAAATTGATCGTGCTTGTCATTTAAATCGAAAAAATCTGGTCTTATAATTACTTTGGCTTAAATTTAAAATCGGACATTTTGCACAATGAATTTTCTGCGAAATTATTATGAGAATCGCTTCAATTACCGTAATTACAATGATTGTACAACATTACATTGAGGGAGTTGCTTGAGAACACCCTAAGTCGAAAAACTTTTTCGATATTCTTCTTGGGTTGTTATTTTTGATAACATTTGCGAAACAATAATTAATAAAATACGATTACTTGATACGGTCATTGAAAGTTTTTCTTGTAGTTTTTTTGTCACCATTACCACCTATGACCCTAGCATCACCACCTAGAAAAATTTCATTACCGCATTAGGGTTAGGGTTTGGGCGTATTTTTGATTTTATGTTACACCTGATCTTAAATTAATTTGACCAGATAAATGGTGTGTAACTGGTAACATAAATGATGATTGGTGACTTAATATCGATATTGATCTAACCTGGTTAATGTCATCCAATCAGCATTTTTTATCATGACGGACGCAGAGTTTGAAATAGAATGTGAAGAAGAGTCTAGTACTCAGGGAACAGTTTTTGCAGAGGACATTACTATAGAGCAACAGAGCAATGAACCAATTTTGACCAAAAAAGAGTTATACGCATGGTAAAAAAAAAAAAAAAAAAAAAATTATTATGCAGATAAAGGCAGAAACTCTATTGGTACTTTTATTAAAAGAATTCCAGTTTTCTAATGGTTCATAGGCTGTTTCTGTTAAAGAATTATAAAAAAATTACTAAAAAACTATTAGACAAACTGCGAGTTCTTTAGAGATTCGCTAAAAAAATATCAACCTTATTGTTTATAACAATTAATATTCAGTTTTAAATAAATATTCAATATTTGTTTAGGTACCTTTACGCATTTGCTTGTGAAGTGTATTCAGTTGTAGCATTATCAAGCTTCATACCATTGATATTGGAACAATTCGCATCCGAACGAGGGGTTCTCAACATTAATCATGAGGTCGCTTGCAAAAACTCTACAGAGCTCAAGACTTTTGAAGAAGTACGCTGTGTAGTCAACATTTTCGGATTATGGGTTGATACAGCCTCATTTAGTTTATACACTTTTTCATTTAGCGTAATTCTACAAGCAATTACTGCGATATCGATCGGAGCAACGGCTGACCACGGTGCAATGCGCAAAACTTTATTAATAAGTTTTGCTTTGGTTGGAAGTTTGTCTGCAGTGTTATTCTTGCTATTCACTCCTCCCATGTTTTTACTTGTCGCAGTAATTTCAATTATAGGAAATGTCTGTTTTGGCGCGTCTTTTGTTTGCTTCAATGGTTTTTTGCCAGTTTTGGCAAGAAATCATCAAGATGTAAGAAAAATATCTGATGAGATAAAATTACATATCGCTGAAAATAAAAAGCTTTCGAACGATCAACAGATTTCATATTCTGATGATGATAATATAGATGATCAATCAAATATCGGACTTTTACATATTAACAATAATGCTGATATTATATTACATAATCTTGCGAATGACCTGGAAAAAACGAAAGAAAATATTTCAACACACATATCTGCTCGTGGTTTTGCTTCTGGTTATTTTGGTGGCATAATTCTTTTATGTATTTGTTTTATAATTTCTTTTAGTTTACATTCTTCTGTCTTTAGTTTTCAAATCGGTGTGTTTTTGTCTGGAACATGGTGGTTTTTACTCACTTTACTTGTTGCTAAGTGGCTGCAACCAAGACCCGGTCCTCCCTTATTTATGGGTGAAGGAAAAAAAATAAAATGCTTCGATTATGTTGTATATGCATGGAAAAGATTGTGGATAACTATTTTGCAAGCAAGAAAATTGGAAATGACTTTTAAATTCTTGATCGCTTGGTTTTTCATATCAGATGGTAAATTTTTTTATATGCTAAAATTTGTTAATTTTCGAGATTGCAATAATTATTTACACGTTATTATTATTTAGGATATACCACAATATCTTCAGTAGCGTTGTTATTTGCTAAAACAACTTTACAAATGCCGGCCACGGGTCTAATTGCCATTTCCTTAATAGTTCCAACATCAGCTTTACTTGGAACGATCATGGTGCCAAAATTTCAATCATACTTTAGACTAAAAACAAAGCAAACCGTTATATTGTTAAATATTTTATTATTATGTATTCCTATTTATGGTTGTTTGGGTTTTATTTTACCATTTGGTGGCCTGAAATCTGGCACAGAGCTTTATTATTTGGCTGTCTGGTTTGGAATAATTATTGGTTCTATTCAAAGTTATTGCAGAACTTTGTTTAGTGAATTAGTTCCTCATGGTAGAGAAACGGAATTTTTTGCTTTGTATGCAGTTACTGATAAAGGTTCAAGTTGGTTGGGGCCTACTTTAGTTGCAATCATTACCGGTATGTAGAATTTGTTCAATTCTTGTGAAATTACATACCGTCTAATTCTTCTTTTTTTTCTATAGACATTACGCATGAAATTCGGTATGGATTTATGTTATTATTTTTCCTTGTATTATTTCCTATACCTATTCTTTTGTCTTTGAATGTTGCTAAAGGAAAAGAGGACGCCGAAAAGGCTTCCAATAAACATGTCATCGTTAGTTGATGAATTACTGATTTTTAGAATTAAGTATAACCATTTCATATCTCAAAGAGAGTATACATTAATTCTATAAATTAATATTGTTCATGCAGAATATATTTTTTTATATTGCCTTTCTTAATAAAAAAGAACTTGTAAAACAAAATAGATTTAATTGCTTTTTTTTTTTTTTTTTTTTTTTTTTTGAGAATATATTTATATATATATATTTTTGGCAAATTGGATTATTAAACCGAATATAATCCTATAAAACCAAACAACAAACACTATAGTTTTATAAATGTCGCGGATGATC